AGCAAGCTCATGACTTTTATAATGCAGGCCAAGAGAGCCTTGAGGGAGAGGACACAGACTTTATCACACTTGACTACATCCCAGCAGCCTGTTTAAGTAATGACAATGTCAGAAGTTTGCAGTGTTGGTGTAGCTGTGTCAGTCCCAGGATATTAGACAAGGTGAGTTAAGGTAATGTCAGAAGTGACTCTTATATGCTCTCCAGGCTGTGGCAACTGTTTTGCACCCATCTGATTAAAAGGAAAGAAAACAAATATTTTAAGGGTAAAAAAATAAATGCCCTATGTCTCTGACTGATTTCATACCTGGACTCAGAAAGGTACGTGTCATCTGTGACAGTGGAACAGTGAATGAAGGGCAGGTAATGCTTGGATACTTAACCCTTCACTGTAAAGATTAAGGAATAATGTAGGAAGGTAAAATGCCTTAACTTATCAAATGAGCACGTTTTTATTCTCCATGTTTTTCGGGAACTTCTACCCTCATTTGACTCCAAACAGATCCAGAACTATCTTTGTCTTTGCAGGAGACTGATTCAGCCAAAGTCGGTTCTGGGAATTTTTCTTCATCTACCATTTATGCTGAATTTCTAAGTGTGAATCAAAGCACCTCCAATAAACTTTCATGTGCTGCTGTGGCCCAGAATTCAGCACCAAAGAGCAAAAATGAAAACTGGACATCTTCATGGACTTTGAAAAACAGCTGCTCTGATCATGTAAAATGTCCTCAGAAAAGTTACTGATCAACAGTCAATAGGTATAGAAAGTGAGTATCATGGCCAACCAGAGCCTGAAGATTGTGTTTTGTATTCTTTGGATAACAATTCTTTGTTCTTAGTGGAGATCCCACCTGCAAATAAGACTATAAACAGAGCTGAAAAGGGAAGGAGAAAGAAGATGGCAGCTTTGCCAAGGTGCCCGGTAGCTGTGAAAGCTGCAGTCTTCTGGTTTAGAAGAGCTTTGCATGTACATTACAAACCTGCACTAAAAGGCACAGGAGCTTGAGGTTCCAATTATCCATGTTTTCCAGTGGAATTTCCATGAAGAAAATGGGCAAAATTATACATTGGCAGCCAGAGGAGCTATCAAATAAATACGGGCTTGCCTGTGCCCTGCCACAGCTGAACCAGTCTCTGCTGGCCAGGTTTAAAGATTTTAAGATAAAAAAACTTGTACCTTTCCCTATATTCCAGTTTTTGTGGGAGATTACATTTAAGTACTCATATGAGCCTTCTGGCTAGCTTCTAGCATATTTTACAACCTGAAGAATGGCTGGGGTTTTGAAAATGACCCTTTAAGGAACATGAACTGGAATTTTGCCTTTATTTGCCTTTTTATGTCATCTTCCACCAATTATATTTGGTCTGTCTTTCTATTGTTGTGTGTTTATTTTTATTTTCACATCACTATTTTGAAGTAGGAAAGGAAGCTTTAGACTAAAAACTTGTAAAATCTTTGTGGCTGCAAATCAACCATCCTTTCATAATCTACTGGTTTGTGTATAAATCACTGTTGCCCTCTAGTGGATGGAATGTCAGATTTATTTGTCTGTGCCTGGATTCCCTTCCATGTTCTGAGCTAGTGGAACTGATTTTCTTAGGTCACAAGTTTGGGAGATGAAAGTTCAATTTTCACTCCTGTTGCCACATGTTGGTGACTGATGTATATTTGTACCTACAGGTTATTGTACTTGACTCAGCACAATGTGCCTAAGCATTACTGATCATATTGTATGCAAGAGCACCTGCTATTCTAAAACTATTTAAGTAGCTAAGCAATAGTTTCTTGTTGCTTTGGTTTGTGACAGTTTTGTTATGTGATGGTTGAATATGTAAATTTCTAAACATATGCCCTACAGTCCATTTTTTTAAAGACAGTGGAAGGAAAACTGTTCTGTGGTATGAATTTCTCATGTCAAAGAGCAAAATAGAGGGTAAATAGTAAGAGAAAAATACACAGGGATATAACTATATATTGGAATTATTACATAATGCGGTTCACCATGGAGCCTGAATATATAAGCATGCAAGGAATTACCATGCTCTAACAGTGTGATGTACTTGGCCAACAACATGTCTGTTCTTTCCAGAAATTTCCTATTACTAAAGCCAAAGGAAGTGTTGGATTCTCTAGAGTTATATAATATTAACCTAGACAAGGCAATGGACATATTGTATTGGCAGCAGGATAGTCTGGACAATGTAATGGCTTTCTCCCATCTCTAACTCTTATATAATACTAGACTTTAGTATCCTAATGTATATACCCTTTAGCTATAAACTGCTGAATGTAATTTGTTTTTATTGTTTTCTAAATGTAATAGACACCCCTATAACAGAACACTTGAGATGTTCTATTCACAAAATATGGTAGCGTGTTTCTTCCCAATTATGGAAAGCAGATAAGAGAAGGGAAACTTGTATCCCAGAGTATATTCCCTTCTTGTCAGTAATTCCTGATTAGCCATATATTTCAGAATTACTTTATTCTGTCCTTCCTCTCGGCCCTCAATTTTTATGCAAGTAAAAACCTTGCATTATTACATGGTTATGACTTTTGTGGATTTGGGTTAACAATGAGGTAGGCCCACTGCCACCCAATTGTTATACTTTATATTTGCATAATGGGTTTTTAATTTTTAAAGCACTCTGACAACATCCATTAACTTATCCTCACAATACCCTTGTGTGTGTAGTTCCATTTTAGAAATAGTGAGACTGAAGCCTAAAGATTAAATCAATTACCCAAGGTCACACAGTCAGCCAAGGAGCCAGGATTAGAATATAGAATGCCTTAGTCTCAGATAGGTGATCAAGCCACTAGATGACATCTCTGTGACTGCAGTTCACACTGAAAGGAAAGTCAGAGACACTAAAAATCCCAGGTAAACAAGGATTGAACTATGAAATAGTAGTTTGCCAGCTAGAACCTCTTTCAAGAATAGTTACATGACCTCTCTGGTCACTCAGTAACAGACTTAAAGGTGGCAATTTTGCAACAGAAAAGCTTCAAAAACAGACTCTAACAAGAAACTGCTGAACTTGAATTAATATGCAAACTAGATACCATCAATTTAGGTTTGAATAGAGACTGGGAATGGCTGAGCCATTATATACATTGAATCTATTTCCCCATGTTAAGTATCCTCACACCTTCTTGTCAAACTGTCTGTAATGGGCTATCTTGATTATCACCACAAAAGTTTTTTCTCTTAATTAATAAGCCTCTTAGAGTTGGTAGGGCAACTTCCACCTTTTCATGTTGTATGTTCCATTGTATGCATCCAATGAAGTGGGTTGTAGCCCACAAAATCTTATGCTCAAATAAATTTGTTAGTCTCTAAGGTGCCACAAGTACTCCTGTTCTTTTTACATGGAAACAGGACATTGATTATGTAATTCCCATATATTACTGGAAATGGCTCATTGCAGAACAAGTGGCTTTAGTGGCATTCTCTCTCACTTACTTGAAAGCTTAAAACAAATAGTTCCTAAAAAGTAGGTCCAGGCAGTTCTAAGTTCACATGCATGTTGAGAGTGTTGTCTATCACAGTGTTACTATTTCAAAGGAATGATTCTTGGACAGAATTTTCTATGAAGTCATTACAGTCCTTACAAGATGCAGTTTGAGGTATGGAAACATACAGACTATGTGGATTCTCTCTCTGGCAGTAAGAGGATCCCTATTCTTAACAAACTTTTTTATTTTATACTAAGATGTGCTGAAGATGATGTAGTCAAGACCCAGGAAGGTTGCTTTTTGGTATCTGGATCACCTAAAAAGGTTTTAAGTACAGAATTTTAGATCCAACCTCCTAGGATAGTCCTTATAATACAGGGCTAAAAGGTTATGAGAGTCAGATACAAGACAATTGTCAATCTGGCTGAAAGAGACTTCACTGCCAGCGCCATCCATGAGGGAGCACTGAACTATGAACAACAGCAAGACACCGGTTACATAGTGGAAGGACTTCGCTGCAGTACTCCAGGAACAAGAGCAGTAGTACACCCAAGCAAATTAACACTTGTAGGGCACATACTATGTTTCACAGCCTACTTATATTAGGCTCAGGCTGCACAACTCCTGTCATTCTCAGCCATCTTGCAGTACTGGCTATAACAAATAGTACTATTGAAGTTGAATACATTTTAAACAGTTACTAGTTTCCTTATGATGGCACTCCCTATCCACTTATCCAAAAGCTTGACATTTCTGTAGTCCCCAAGTGGCTTTTCTTCACTACACAAGAGGATGTCATACACGATCCTGAACATTCACATATGATTAAAGCAACCATTTCCCAATTAGGTCAATTAAAGAATGGGTAGAACTTGCTGTTTCCTAACCATCAGCTGATAGATACTGAACTTTAACATGATTTTTAATAGAAGTAAGAAATAGTGCTTTCTGCACAAGAATTAGAGGAAAAAAATGAAATCCAAACAGCTCTAGAACTCATATGAAGAGCGAAGTATACAGGTAATTTCCCTCAATCGAATTGTGCTTGTATCCTTTTCTGACCTCCCAAATTAAACTTTTCAACAGGAGACTATCGTTCATTCACATCACTTCCATCTATCCCATCCCCCTCCTAATCCTAAATCAGGGTTGTTGTTTTTTTAAGTACATTGGACTTATCCTTCAGTTTGTATACATAATAGGCATAGCTGGCCTCTTACTGAAACTTCAGGTCCTCTTAACCCATCAATGAATCCATCATGGTTTTGGCTGAGGGGGGCATGAGATAGTGTTAAAGCATTAGAGAGGGCTGCATTTCTATCATGTATGTGTCAGAATGAGATATTAGTCATTCTAGCACGCAAATGCATAGTTAGAATATACAGATCCCAAGCCTTTGAAGGGTTGCATGTATTTTGAGTCCCAAGTTTGTTCAAGTGATAGGTTAATCTTGCAAGTTCCAAACAGGATACTGAACTTTATATACAATATGTAAAATGGGTTATGGTACATGGAATACAAAATAACAGCAAACGTAAGTGGTAAAGTCAGGTTTTTTTTTATTTTCTGTTATCTAGTCTGCTGCAAGGCTACAGCCGTATCTGTAGAAAATTTTAACTAAACTAAACTTTTTAAAGATTATATTGCTATGCACACCTGAAACCTGATGCAACTTTTGTATCACAACAACCTGTTAGCTATGTAAATGTATTTGGACAGCTAACACAGTTACCATGCTGCTGCTAAGACTGTTGCATGTTACAGTGCTACACTTTAAGTGTGTATTTTTAGGAACTAAAAATATTTTACTCTAGATGACATTCCAAACTTTGAAATTACATAATTAAGTTTAATAGGCTAAAAAAATCACTAGCAAAAGGGAGCAAATGTTAAGCATTTTTTTTCCTATCTGCAATCTCTGATTGTCACAGGATTGCTCTTTAGTACAACACGATTCAGAGGCAGCATATTTGTCTTGAAATCTTATTCAAAATTTCTGGAATATGCAATTTTTTCAAGCTGCCCAATGTCAGACCTTCTGTACACCACTAATCTATGACAAACTACGCTGATATAAGTGTTTTGTAGTGGTTTATTTTAGCATTCCAGGTCAGTCCTCAATGGATTTTATAAATTTCTCATACGCGTCCTCATTCATCAGTTCGTTAAGTTCTGAAGGGTTGTCCACAGTCATCTTGATAAGCCAACCTGTACGTAAGAAATTAAATTAATTTTTTAAAAACATTAACTAGACCTATTAAAATAAAGGCATCTAAATCCAAACATTAAGGAAATATTTTTTTAAGTTCACCCCCACGTACCTACAGCTCTTTAAAACTGGAATGGACTCAAGGGCTTGGTCGTCTAGCATATGCAAAACAGTTTTCAGATGCTTTTAAGATCTGTTAAACTTAAAGGAGGAAATATAACCACTCTAAATATGTTCTTCCTTTGCTATTTAAAAGGAGGTTTAAACTCAACCACAGTATATTTAGCTCTGAAGATTTCTGGAAGTTGTAAGCAACAGATCAATTTCCTAGTGAAGACAGGACTAAAATGTTTAACAATTTCATACTATAGGGTTTATTGGAACTAGAGGATGCTCAGAGACATGAGGCATGTCTACACTACAAACTTAAGTAGACCTACGTTAGGTGGACTTACAACTACTGAAGTAATTATTGCAGTTGTTTATGTCCACACCACCCTCCTTCTGTCACTGGTGTGCATCCTCACCAGAAGCATTTCTGCTGACTGAAGAGGGGCAGGGGCGGGGGGGAGGAGGGGGGGGGCTCAGCTCCGAGCAGAGCTCTCCGCTGGGAGCCCAGGGCTGTCAACTCCCCACTCCCTGCCAGAAGCCAGGCTGCCCCCTGGACTCTGAGCTGTGAAATTGATAGGAATGACAGCCAACAACTGATGTAAGTAACGCAGTGTCTATACGGACACTGCGTCGCCCTAACTACCCGACATAAGCCCTAAGCCTCTCATGGAGGTGGAGTTATTATGTCAGTGTAGTAAGGCACTTACTTCAGTAGGAGCAAGGCAGTAGAGTAGACACTGACATAATTAAGTCGATGTAAGCTGCCTTATGTCGACTTAACTCTGTAGTGTAGACCAGGCCAGGTTCCCTCCATGTCATTTTTAGATTCCAAATAATTAAATTGGAGAAATGGACAATAGAAGATCTGCTTGTGATAGAAACACCATCTGGATCTTAATCATAGAAGTGCTGTTTACTCCTTGAAAGTGAAACAATAGCTTCTTACCATCTTCATAACAAGATTTATTGACGAGTCCTGGATTATCTGCAAGGGTGGCGTTAATTTCAGTTACTTCTCCCGTGAGAGGAGAATAGAGTTCACTAGCAGCCTTCACACTTTCCAGAGCACCAAACTCATCTGAAATACAGGATTGTGTTCATTAAAAGAAAAAAAAAAGGAAAGGCGTTGATGATTTACTTTTGTAGATAAAGGTTTTAAAGATGACCCAGCCCCGATAAGTCTCTGGAAACTAAACAAGGAAGAACGGATGAGATTTTCACACAGGCTGAAGATAAGGCCCTGCTTTCATTACAATGACTATAGGCTTCAAGTTTGAAATTTCTTTTTGAACTATGTACTCTGGATGAAGGGGCAGTTGAGGGATAACATTACCTGCTACTGCACAAAGGATGGGAATTTGTCACTTAGCTCATCCAGGGGGCTGGTGCCTTACTTACAATTAGACTTGGAAGAATTCAATTTTTATCAATAAATGTCAGTAAACATTGATTTCATTGCACACAAAAAATATTTTCATCGATAACTAATATGTACAGATAGACCTTGAGAACTTACTAGAATTCTTATTAGAAGGATATCTACTGTCATTAAATAACTACCTCTGACCCAACCCCCCCATAATTTTCTGCAATTCTACATTTAAATTGCTAAACATAAAAAACCTTCAAGCCCAGAATTTTGTGTAATTGTGCAAAACTGAATAGATCAAAGAAGAAAATGTTTAAACATCAGTTTTATCTGTCAAATATAAAAAACAAAAAACAAAAACTGAATTCTGCCAAGCCTATTTACAATGCTTTACAGCAAAGCTTCTGACCAGGAAAGAGGGGCTAGGCACCAGTAGCCACATCCAGCCCTCTGCTGCAGAGTATAAATATAAATTCCGAGTAGCTGCTAACTAGCCTTTAGCTCAAGTAATCTGCCTGTGAAATAGTCAAAGCAATAGTCTCGTGAATTCTGATTTCCTACCACACTGAGGTCTTGTCTACACTACAAAGTGTGGTTGGCAAAAGCCTTTTGCCAACAAAACTCGAGAGGCATACACACTACAAAGCTACTTTTGACGGCAAAACAAAACCACCTCAACTAGAGGCATAAAGCTTTTTGAGGAAAAGTTCAAGTGATAAAGCGTCAGTGTAGACACTGCTGTTTGTTTTGTCCATGGAACTGGCTTCCACCAGTATCCCACAATGCCTGCTGTGACCACTCTGCTGACTGTTTTGATCTCTGCTGCCCTACAGGCAAGTGCCCCTCTCCTTTCAAAGCTCCAGATATCTGACAGCTGAGCTTGCTGCTCTGGGAACAGAGAGCAGATCATTAGAGGATTGCTCCTGTCCTGTCCTGCAGTAGGAACACAGGGGCCTGCCGCGGGGAGGGGGCCTGCTGCGCTGCTTTGACATTCCTCAGCATGGAGAGCTTAGAGAGCTGCTCAGGATTCCGCTCCCAGCAGCTGAGAAGGCTGCGGGGATGGAATCTCAGAACTATAGGCAGGCAGACTGGCAGAGTGGGCTGCTTGGGGAGAGACTGTTGTGCCAAGCAGAGCTGGGGGCTGACATGGGGGGTGGGGTCCCTCACTCCTCCTACCTCACGATAGGTCGGTCAGCCTGTCATCTCTCCCTCCCCACAGACTTCAGTTGAAAATTGGCTGACAATCTACTAGGATGCCCATAGAACCATGCGATTGAGAAACGTGCATCATGTGGCGCTACACCTTCCCCCTGAGGCATTGCAAACCCTTCCGAAAGCACCATGTGGCCACTTGCACACTAAATAGCTACCACAGCGCACTGCTCTCTGTATCGATGCAAGAGCTGCTAGTGTGGATGCACTCTGCTGACACAAGGAGCATAGTGTTGACACGCAACAGCGGTTTTAATTAAAGTGACATAACTTTTGCCGACAAAACTTGGTAGTGTAGACAAGGCCTAAGAGTGCACTTTTTCAGAAACACCATCAGAAGCTAATGTACATGCACTGGGAGAAGAGCAAATCCCTTAGTATTCAGAATCAGGAAGTGGGTACCACTGAATTGCTCTCCCCCTTTTCCTTATTTTTTATACAGTTATTGAAATGGCAGGTGGGACAATGCTACTGAAAGCAGCCGTAAACTGTAATGAAATGAGAAACAGGCTGGAGGAACATGGAAATGTCAGAACAGCAGGTTGGTACGAGCACAGAATGTAATGGGTTCGGGAGTTTGGAATTAGATGTGCATGGTGCAGAATCAGCGTTAGAGCTGGTGGAGCAGATAGGAACTAGGAGGAATGAATTTTCTCACTATAAAATAAAACAAAAATGTTGAGTTTGTTAATTAGAAGCCCAAAAGCAAAGGGCCTTTCTCCAACCTTTGACATTCAAGCCTTCTGTAGATGGTGTGGCTAAAATAGTTGCTGGGGACATTTTACACAACAAGGATTTCAGAATAGAGGTCCTGCTGCTTTACCTCTTTTGTAATCTTGTTTTGCAATTTCCTGCGTCTGTAGTCCATGGTGGATTATTTATGTTTCTAGGCAAGAATGATTTTTGGAACATGTACCAGAACATCAGTACTCCTTATGAAAACAAAGGAAAAGCCTCCTCCTGCTTGCTAACACTCACTCTTTTGTAGTGATTTACAAGTTATTACACTCTTTATAATTTAATAATACATAATTAAATTATTGAGAAGCACCATGGGCCAAGCATGGAACTTGAAGCTGGAAACTATCAAATTCTAATTCCAGCTCTGGTAACTTGCCAGAGGGTCAAGGTTTGTACAAACCTTTGAATTTGTAAAGCACCACATCAGCTGCTGTGTTGATTAATGCCACAACCAAAAAGTACCTTGCAAAACAGGAACAAATAAGTCACCTAGAAGCACTGGCAGGTTGTCAAATCACAATATGGAAAATTGTACAATTTTAAAAGTTTATTGTAGCAATTCTATTTAAATTTATATAATTAAAAATTTAAGCAAACATTTAAATTAAACAACTGGTTTTAAGTGTCTCTTTACAATTTTAAAGGCAGGTTCTCCTATTAAGCAAGATCTGAGAACTCTACTTGCTCTGTTCTAACATTCAGAGTTTAGAAATAAGGCCTTTATCTCTCTTAAAAATGTGAACAATCCATATTTTATATCCAACCATATAAATGAAATTAAATATGACAGGATCGGAGGGTTACATCAAACAAACAAACAAATGTTTAACTATATGAAAAACAACAAGAATTGAGGAAGTGGCATAATCACGTTAGTTTAGATTAAAACCTAAGAATTGTTATAGCAATAGTTTAACAGCTTAAAATAAAAATACTTACCCTGTTTGTTCAACTTTGTCCCAATTTCTGGAAGACTACAATAAACGATGTCTCCTAATGCTTCCTAAAAACAAACCAAATGCATCAGGAATATATACTAGTAAAGGCTAAATGAGCATGTGGAGGAGGGATTTAAGGTTGTAACTGCACAACTGATTAGACTAAAATTATATTCCTCTGCTTAATGTTGGTGCCCATCCCACTCAAAGGCTGCACACTTTTAACAGGAATCATGTTTTTTGATACACAACTTGCAAACCAGTTAGCTTCTCATGCCCTCTAAATTGCAAGATGTGTTAATATATTAGGGTTTTAATAAGCTTACAGCTGTGTTATGAGTCCATGAGAAAGAATTACATAATCATTCCTCCAGGCACGATGTGACAGAATTCTTGTTGATCTTTATAGAAACAAAATGGGTCCTAACAGCAAAACTCCCAGTGATGTCAGGGAACTAAGATTTGACCCCCAAAGCATGAAGCATTTACTGTTTGTGTCATTTGAAAGACCATGCAATATCTGAGTCCTAGTCTACCCAATGCAGACAATTTACACATTGCCTAGTACACAGTACTCATCAGCTGTCTGGTTTTGGGCCATTTGAGTGACTGGAATTTATGCTATTGAGTTCAACAGAAGCAGGGTCAAGCCCTTTAAGACCCCAAATTTATCTCTACCTCACACAAACCTAGGGATCTTTTATGATAATAGATGTTATTTACACATTCAGAAAGCTGAAATCACAGAAAGGCTATTTATCCTAAAGAACATGAATCCCACTACACTCAAAGCTTCTGACATTGTCCCATATATTATACATCAATGCAATGTCCCACATTTGGTTGTTACCAGGTTTAGGCATGTTTCTTTGGATTTTTTGTTTTTAATGCACATCTTTAACTAGCATCCTATTAACCAGTCATAACAGGGACTAAAGCTAGAAAAATACCCCGACCAAGGATTTGAAAGCTAATAGTCCAATCTCTTTGGTAAGCATCACAGATGAGGATGCTAATGACTATCACACATATTACAGACTCTCCCTGCACCAAATCCTATTCCTGTTCACAACTCCACTTAAATCAAAAGGGTAAAACTCAGAGCAGAATTTGGTCCAAACATGCACAATGCAATAATTTCCTCATGCAGTCTAATGTTCCTATAAAGAAAGTAAAAAACAAGATTAAAACAGTAATAGAGTAATAAATCTGAATTGTTATTCTGATTTAACAACTAAGATGCTCATCAAGTCTAAGTCAATCCAATGGAGAACTAACATGATCAAAAAATTATCCACAAATATGCTGAAGCAGCATAATGTACTTTAGAAATAGTTTGAGATCTAAGCCCATAATATGCTTCAAGTGTACAGTATATGCAATAAAAATAATAAAAGAACAAGGTAACAATCCAAAGTTCAAGGACAAGAGCAGGAATGTACAAGTAAATATTGAAGGACAACAACAAAAAATCAATACCTGTGCAAAATTGCTGATTCCTACAGTCCCAATACCATTTTCAACTGATATCCACTCATGCTTGTCTGTGAATTTGCGGGCTAAAATGAAACAGATTTGATATCTCAGAAAATATTGACATTTTACTTTTATAAATACTCTAATATACTGGCACTTCTAAACACTGTTTTCTCTTGAGTTTGGCTTTGAACATTATTGTTCAACTATGGTATGGACTGCATGTTTGGGACACTTTTTTGGAAGTGCTGGTATTATGCTTTGTATTAACACAGACCACACGTGAGGTGTTGAAATATGCATCAGAATCGCATCATTTAGCTTTAGATGCCAAAATATATAAACAACAAGTGTGAATTGCAGATCCATTAAAAAAAAAAAAAGCCTGATTTACATCTTTAGTGACACAGTAGGGGCCTGATCACAGATGGCAAAATCTGGCCCTGGACAATCTAAATATGCCATAGGAAATCATATTTAAAGCTACCAGCTCAAAGCGTGGAGGATGAAGCACCACCAGATGGGATTTAATTGGAAAAAAGACAGTTTGTACTATTAATTAAAATGACAGTTTAAGAATTTTATTCATTGTTGTGTGTGTCCAACACAACTTTAAAAGGTTTCTCCCTCAAATTCAGAATTGTTTAATTAGCCAATTCTCCACATTATTCCCACTAAAGCTGACCCTAATGACATTTCTGTAACACTGCAACTTTCACAGTGCCTCATGCAATGCACTATATTTGAACTTTCTTAGATGACATGGAGAGGTCATACTATCCCTTTGCAGATAAACTATTTCAGCTTGCTGAAACTCAAACATAATGGTTTTTAAGTACATTTATTTTTCACTTATTCATTATTGCAACAATTCAGCTGCATTATTGCAACAATTCACACTTTGTTTTAAAAAAAATGGAAATAAGATCACTGAATCCCCAAAACTGTCCATATTTTACTGAATACATTTCATTCTGCAAATCCAGATAAGAGGAATGATTCTGCACCCTATGCTCATCAGACTACTCATACAAGTAAGGATTACCCCACAGGAATACGGGTTGCAGGATCATCTTCTGGGACATTTATATAATTGTTGTGCAACCACTGCAGGGTCACCAGAGAATTGTGTTCTTAATAGACAATTATATAGAAGACCCAGTTAAAGTTTGATCACTTCACAGCAATTCTCACTCATACTTCTGCATGTATTCTAGTCACATTTCTACAAATACAACTCTACCCTGATATAACGCTGTCCTTGGGAGCCAAAAACATCTTACTATGTTATAGGTGAAACCGCGTTATATCGAACTCGCTTTGATCCGCCGGAGTGCTGCTTTACCGCGTTATATCCGAATTCATGTTATATCGGGGTAGAGGTGTACTACTCTGATTCTCTCCGGAGTGTGACTCTTTTCATGCTTATGTTCCAGATGCCCTACACTTCATACTTAATTCTCCCTCTTGGAATCCCATTTGAAGACCTCTCTTCTCCATGACCTTTAATCCCTAACCTCTTCTTAACAGGTCCACAATTCTATTCCTTAAACCTCTAGTCTGCTCCTTTTCCCCTCTACTCATCCATTCCCCCCATCCGCCGCATTTGGGAATGAGGGGAATGTACCGCAGCAGTGGGGGAATTCGTACTTTTCTTCACCCTGACTCACTATGTGTGTCCAATCAGACATGGGCTGTTCTGACAACTGGAAAAGACTATTTATGAAACCAAACTTTCTGTATTACCTGTGCCATAGCAATTCAGTCTGGCCAGGCAATTCATGTTCCTATCTGGATTTCCTTTTTGGCTCCAAGAGCCTCCCTGTGTTTTTTGGCTTCTCTTGCAGGATGAAATTTCAGCCACTGGTCCCCTGCAGAATCCCCACTATACTAACTCAAAGTTTTCCCCACCTTGTAACCCACTGCCTGAAGAAACTCAGCAGTTTTTGTTATCAACCTGCTGGGCTCCTGGACTGCAGCTCAACTATACTGCTGTAAACCCCTGATTTTAAAGTTGCAATTCCAGGACCCATGAAGACACACGATCAAAGCAGATCTCAAGCCTTAGCTGAACACAAACGTTATGTATTTCACATACACAGCCACTAACTCATCACGAAGACACACAAGCATATAGAAAATTTGATTATAAAGCAAAATTTAAAAAAACTTGGTAGAGGTTTAATTCCAAATCAGTCAAGTGTTTTGAACTGTTGGGACAGTCTGTAAATTGCTCTTTGTAGCACATCAAAAAGAAAAGGAGCATAGTCCACTATGGCAACAAACATTCTAAATTCATATAAACAGTAGAGAGATTTAATAAATAATCTTGCTTGGAATGGTCTCAAGAACATTTAAACATTGAACACAGCAAAAACCTGAGATTAACTAAGTGATCTGCTGTACTACAATTCATTATTATTACTGAAAACTCTAGGCATGTCTACAGGGGCCACTCAGGAAAATGACACTGAATTAGCTGAAGGCGTGAATTTAAAGTTCATTAAACCCAGGTGCACGAGCTCACTGGGAAGTAAAGAGGCCTTTGTTCTGTTCAGCTTAATTCACTTTCAAAGTGAATTTGCTTTTGCTTTAACCGATTCATTTTAAATTCATACCTTCAGTTAATTCAGCTTAACTTTCCTAAGCATCCCTGTGTGGACATACCCTAAAAGTGAGAAAAACCTGAGCCAACCATCACAAACTGGCAGTGGCATATAGATATTCATTTTCTTTCTTTAAAAAAGTGTGTGGTTTAATTATTACATACAGGATATATCTACAGAAGAAATGCCCCATATATTAGAAAGATTGACATGATGAGAGATGATTCAAGAATTACTCTTGTAATTAAGCAAGGAATGACTAATGAGAAAGCCATTTCTTTCCACTATTTACATGGAACAAGGAGGCACAAGGGACTACCTCAGTCCCTTAACCCAGCTAGCTATTAACTGCCAGGAAATTCAGTACCTGGAGGTCATTGCTATTATAAACCTGTCAGCACATCCCCTCCCACCTCCTCCTTTTTCTGCATCTCTTTTGTCTAGGCCATTATGTATTGACTTCTGATTTCTTTTTTTGGTACTGGTCTTTTCTTAATAGTTAACAAATGGATCAGTAATGGAAGCTCAAGACTTCAAAACACTCTCACAGTTGTGCAGCAGTATAACATCTTTGCAAGTACCCTTAAACTAGAAGCCTGCTTCTGATTAAGAACTTCATAGGTAATACACTATTTGCCAAAAATCTTTTTTAGCATGGTAAACCAAGTCAAAAGGAGAAACATATCCCATTGTTTTGTCTTAAGGACAAAATGCCTGTCCTACTTTAGGCACAAGTGGAGTAAGTCACACTGCTGCAAGCCCAGTTTTGCACCAGTGCAGCATATCTACACTAGGTGTTCATATCGGTGTATAGCATAGCTACATCAGTATAGTTACACTGGTCCAAGTTCCCTAAAGTAGACAGGGTTCAGGGTCCTGATCCTGCAAGTAGCTCCATGCAAGTGGACTCCTGTACCCTTGTGAATGTGCCTACATAAAGCTCATTCAGACCTAAATTCACATAGTCCATTGAGAGGAAAGTTTAGTGCAGTGGTTCCCAAACTTTAACAACCTGTGAACTCCTTTCACCAAAATGTCAAGTCTCGCGAACCCCCTCCTAAAAAATGAATATTTCCAGGGATTTTCTCCTTTATCTGAGTATAAATTATAAAAGCCGTGATCTTGGAAATATAAAATTTGTTTTTATTACATGCTTATTACACACTATTTATTATTAATTATTATTTATCATTACAGTATTTTTATTACATTATGAAAACGGCAACACTGTTCCAAGATCTCACTTTCGTAGCTTGTATCACTTTGAATAAGCCTGTTATAAGACAAGGCACCTATGTTTCATCAAGAAGTATCAGATGTGAAACAGCATGAAGGTATGTAAGAAGCCAATATAAAGAGTTCCTTTTATACAAGCATTCAGGTCTTGAGCAGTTCAAGCAAACACCACACGTTACAACAAAGCTTAAACTTGTTCTTCATAATACTTTTAAAAACAATACTAGCTGCCTATTTAATTTTAAAAACAGCAAAAAATATCCACCTCCCTTTCCATTTCTTATAAGGAGTCTTGAAGTTTAAATCTCAGTGTGACAGATGTGCTTACTTTGATCTGCTTAGCTCTTGGAAGTCCTGGGGCTCTGGGCTGCTGGTCCCCTGCTCCCTGAGGACAGCTCTGTCCGCCATTAGGGAATTTTTCCCTGAGAACCCCCTGTAACATTTCACGAACCCCAGTTTGGGAACCACTGGTTTAGTGATTCATTCACCTTAAACTTGCAATCACAATGACTGGTGCATCATCAAAGCTTCACCTGTTGACACCTCCTAGATGGCTCTATGGATCTACATTAGGGATCGGCAACCTCTGGCACGCAGCTCCCTGGCAGGCCGGGTCAGTTTGTTTACCTGCCGTGTCCACAGGTTCGGCCGATTGCGGACACGGCAGGTAAACGAACTGGCCCGTCCCTTCAGGGTGCTTACCCTGGCGAGCCGCGGGCCAGAGGTTGCCGACCCCGATCTACATTGAGTAAGAATTGCAGGATCAGCGCCTAATCTGTCATCTTTTCCTATACGTATAGGACAGCTATCAGTGAATATGTAACAATGTTCAGTGGCTGTGTCTACAAAAAAGCCTGCATCAGGTATATATTTAAACTTCTATTGCACACTACGCATAGTAAAGTAAAGCCATCGAAGGCCTCGAGCACACTAGCAAATTTCTTACCCGCTAACATCAGCAGGAAGCACCGCATGGTCACTGGGGTAGCAGTCCTAACAAGTGGTCGGATTATGCCATAGTGATGAAAATAGCTGCACCATGTCTACCTAGTGCTTGTACCTGTAGTAGCCCCACTGCAGCATTACCTATTGATAAAAACAGGTGAAACTGCAGAGAAGGCATCTGTAACCAAAATAGTGGCTCACTGTCCATTTTGCAAAACCTGTTGTGTTGTTTTTAAACGAGGCTACATACAGTGGAACTTGATTTACTAACTTGACTCCACCCCATTTTTTGTGTCACTAAAAGTTACATTTTTAAAAATGCGTGATTTTTAGGCATAAGTCCCCTTTTCTGCAGATTAATGAATCAGGCAGATTTCTAGCGTTCAGAGAGCTGGAGTCAGGCGTTCTGGATTAGGCTCCCCGCTTCGTAAATTGATCTGCTATGCTCTTTAGAACAGGACCCTTCCCCTTTCCTCTAAGCCATGGTTTTCAAATGGGGGTCCGCCGACTATGCCTGAGATTTCCAAATGGGTCCGCAGCTCCATTTAAAAACTTTCAGGGGTTCACACAGGAAAAAAAGGTTGGAAAGCACTGCGGTAAGCCTCGTTCTCACGAGATGTTAAACACTACTGTAGGACACAGCTCGCTGCCAACAAAGTAATGGGTACATGCACCACACTCCACGCAGCAGCAGCTCCCACGCCTGCGTGTACCAAACCCCACGCACCAACGCTAGCCCTAAAGCTCGCATGCACCAGCCCCCCCCATGCAATCGGAGGCCCCCCTGCGCCTGCCCCAACACCCCCCCCGGCCCCCGAGCATTAGCCACACACGCACCCGAGCCCCCCCTCGCGCCTGCTCCAACACCCCCCCCCGGCCCCCGAGCATTAGCCACACACGCACCCGAGCCCCCCCAGAAAGCCCGCGTGCACCGGGGCCCCTGCCCGGCCTCCCGCCATGTGGGCCCGGCCGCAGCTCGCCCTCGCTGCTCCCATCCCCGGCTGCCCGTGGCCGGACTCACCCGAGAACAGCAGCGCGCTGGTGCCCAGGCTCCTGGTCGAGGCTGCTTGCGGCCAGCCCGCCCGGGGCGAGATGAGGGGGCCGCAGCGGCCGGGGCAGCGCGGAGCCAGGCTGGCCCCGAGCCTCCGCAGCGCTCGCAACGCCGCCATAGCCGCCCCGAGCCGCGGCGCGCACCGGCCCCACAGAGTCCCAAGACGCGCTGAGCCTGACCCCGCGGGCGGAGCCGAGGGCGGGACTAACCGACGCCATCCGCCCTGGGGGTACGTGTGGGGAAGGGCGGGGCGTGGGCATGAGGGGAGGTGGGGCTGGGGGGAGGACAGAATTGGGGAGTGGGTGTGAGAGGGGGCGGGGGGCTGTGATGGGAGAGAGAGGATGTGCGGGGAGGACAGAATTGGGGAGTGGGTGTGAGGGGGCTGTGATGGGAGAGGGAGGATGGGGGAGGACAGAACTGGGGAGTGAGTGTGGGAATGGGCGCAAGGGGAAGGTATGTAGGCAGGAGAGGGGCTGTGTGTGGAGGGGAGGTATGTGGGGTAAGAGGGGCTGGAAGGGGAGGGTGCCTGTTGTTTTGGGAAGATGCATGAGATGGTGCTGAGGCTGCAGGGTGGAAGCAGGGTCACTGGGGGACCCTGCTGTCTACACACACTCAATTGGAGCAAACATTCGGTGCTCCTGCTCCCCAGTGGTTGGGCAGATAAGATGGCTCTGGGTTGCACAGACACATCAGGCACTGCCCTGCTTCAGGCACCAGTGCAGTCTTGGGGCAGAGACCTTGGAGGAGGGGGCTAAGGGCCCAGTGTTCTCCAACATTTTTTCATTTGCGGACCCCTAAATCATTTTGAATGGTGGTAAGGACACCTTTGGAAATCTTAGACATAGTCTGTGGACCCCCCAGGGGTCTGCGGACCACTGCTTTAGGGTCAATGGGATTGAACGTAGAAAAGGGATGGGTCCCTTCCCCAATACTGATGTGGGGGAGGTGTGTGGAATCAAACTGAGGGTAACTTTGTGATATCTGTCAGATTATAAGCCCGTCTGGCGAGGGGCCTTGCAGGAGTGGGGGGAAAGGGCAAGGAGCCCTGCTCCTGTCTATGTTATGTCTTCCACATGGAAGTGTGGTACTTTGGAATTACCTGTCAGAATAGTTAACAGTGGCCTCAGTGTGGTACAAATCCAAACAAGATAACAGGTGAAAAGTGTAAATAGGGATGCTTGTCTCTTTTGAAATACAAAGACAATGAGAGCAAGGAGGGACAGAGTGGAAAAATAGTCAGTGTCCCTAACCAGGAGCTGCATCTCCTAAATAGGGAGAGTTGGTATGTATTTATTTATTCAGAGATTTAAAGGCCAGAAAGGACCAGTATGCTCATGCAGGTCAACCTCCTGTATAACACGAGCCATAAAACCTCACCCAATAATTTCTGCATCAAGCCCATAACTTCTGTTTGAGCTACAGCATATCTTTTAGAAAGATCTCCAGTGTTGATTTAAATCTGATTTAAATATTTGGAAGCATGTCATTTGCTCATGTGAATCAGGTAACTGTATCCCTGTGGGTTGTTAGGTGTGAACTTATCTCAAATGGATTTGCTTGCAAATTTGGTGAGAGTAATTCAGGAAGTTTTCTGGAAATTTGCCTCTAAAAGTTAGCTATGCCATTTTTTAGAGTGGACTCATTTACTAGAAGCGCAGGTGATGTAAACCAAAGGCTTGTCTACATTTAAAATGCTGCAGCTGCGCCGCTGTAGTGCTTCAGTGAAGACTCTACCTACGCCGATGGGAGGGATTCTCCTGTTGGCGTAGGTAATCCACCTTCCCGAGAGGCAGTAGCTAGGTCGATGGGTGAATTCTCCATTGACCTAGTGCTGTCTACACCAGAAGTGAGGTTGGTTTAATTGCCTCGCTCAGGGCAGTGGATTTTTCTCACCCCTGAGCAACAAAGTTATACCACCTAATTTCCTAGTGTAAACCTGGCCTAACTGCTCTTCTCAGGAGCTGGCCTTTGTGCCTCCCTGTGCACCTGAGGTGTGTGGTTTACTCATAGTACCTGTACCTCATGTCACGTGCTATTCTTTACTTACCATACTTTTGCAGACTCTGATGTTACTTGTTACTCATAACATATAAAGGCCCGGGGAGGGGGGCGTGTTTCTGCGATGTGACGTGGGCAGAGCTCGCCCGGCGATAAGAAATAACCATCCCGAACGAGGGGTGGTAGTTTTATTGTCCTGGCGATAAAGCGTTGTCTATACTGGCACTTTTCAGCTCTAAAACTTTTGTCACTTAGGATATGTTTTTTCACATGCCTGAACGACTAAAGTTTTAGCACGGAAAGTGGCAGTGTAGACACAGGCTTAGTCAGTGGGGATACAGTGAAAGACAATAACTCAGACTGAAGCTATTGTCCACAAGTTGTAAGGCCATTATGTCTGATGATCCTTAAGTACCCCACTTCCCCAAAAAAACAAAGATCTGTGTTGTATGTAGTGTTGGAGTAGCCCTGTTGGTTCCAGGATATTAGAGAGACAAGGTGGGAAGTACTATCTTTTATTGAACCAACAGATACTTATCCAATAAACGATATTATCTCACTCACCTTGTTTCTGGAAAGATTTCTGTTTCTGGCGAGCCGCGTGCTGAACGTTGCTGACCCCTGCCTTAGGCTTAAATAGAGACTGGGAATGACTGAGCCATTACACACATTGAATCTATTTCCCCCATGTTAAGTATCCTCATAGCTTCTTGTCAAACTGTCTTAAATGGGCTGTCTTGATTATCACTACAAAAGTTTTTTTTCTTCTGCTGGCAACAGTTCATCTTAATTAATTAGCCTCTTAGAGTTGGTTGGGCAACTCCCACCTTTTCACGCTCTCTGTATGTGTATATATATCTCCTCACTATATGTTCCATTCTATGCATCCGATGAAGTGGGCTGTAGCCCACGAAAGCTTATGCTCTAATAAATTTGTTAGTCTCTAAGGTGCCACAAGTACTCCTGTTCTTTTTGCGGATACAGACTAACACGGCTGCTACTCTGATTCCTTCTAGACATTTAAATCATAGACTGGATAAGTGGGACACTATCTCTTGGTGATTTTATGATCAAATAATTTAGATAAACTTTGCAGTGAACACTTAACATTTATTAAATACATGACAGTAAATTTACAGAAATTATAAGACAATATACATAATTGGACACATTATTCTAGATTTGTTTACTACTAGTTCACAGATAATATCCCATAACATCATACAACACAAGATTTTATTATTGAACGTATTCCTATTTATGTCACAGCTCTGCAGACAACACCACTTTACACATAGGAGCCATAATATCTAAGTCCAGCCACAGCAACTGTAGTTTAAAATGGATAGAGGGAAAGACTTTACAGAAAGCAATTGGTCATTATGGTGGTCAGGTGCTAGCAGCTTCTTTCAGTTGCTCAACACTGGTTGGCTTCTCTTCCTTTTTGCATTTAATCCCAAGGAAACTGAAAATTTTCATCAGCATTAGGTCAACAATCTCTTCCTCTTCGGAAGCCTAAAAAAATGACAAAAATAAAGCCCCATGCTGCTGCAGCTGTGTATGGATTGCTAGTTTAAATAAATGGAGTGAAATCCTGGCTACCATTTGCTTCAATTGGGCCAAGATTACACATAGAGAATGTAAATACTGTAGGTACAACAGACATGGATTCAGGTGGATGAGGCTGAATATCACCATCACTGCAAAAAAACTCAGCTTGTTGCAACATGCTGGGTGAAAATCTGGCTCCACTCAAGTGCAGGGGAGTTTTGCCATTGACTTCAGTAGGGTCAGAAATTCAACAGCTAGCTATACACCCGACAGTTCCCACAGATACATGCCTATAACTCCTAGTAAAGTGAGTGGAAGTTGCATACGTGCATCTAGTGCTTACATTAACAATCTGTTCTGTTTTCCATTCGCTTGGTTTTATATACAATACAACAGATTCATCAAGGGCTTCATGTAGAGCAGGGGTCGGCAACGTTTGGCACGCGGCTCGCCAAGATAAGCACCCTAGCGGGCCGGGCCAGTTTATTTACCTGCTGAGGCAGCAGGTTCGGCCAATCGCGGCCCCCACTGGCCGCGGTTCGCCGTCCCGGGCCAATGGGGGCGGCGGGAAGCAGCGGCCAGCACATCCATCGCCCGCGCTGC